AGGGAGGCAAAAATAGGTTGTTTATGTAGATGCAGGTTACATGTGACACAGATTACAAATACTTTATCAATTAACAATTGTAATGTGTTAGAAACTTGTGTTTGAGACCTTTTGAGATAGCCTGAATCCTTCTGAAGTACTGTATGTGAGTTCAACAATCTTTCATTTAATGGAGCTGTTAGTCTTGTTTTTCCAAAACGAGCATTTCAAAATCTGCAAAATAGTGTCATGGGAGGCTGAGATGCTCTCCTATTATTTTGTTCTTGTTGTGAGTCCTGATGTCAAACTTGCATCCATTAATCCTTTTATGCAAAGTTGGTCTCGTTTGTCCTAAATAGAATCCAGAGGGGCATTGCTGATGATGGCATCTATCACATTAGTATTAATCTGTAGTTTTTTTGAAAATGAAGAAAATTAAGCATGGTTTTCTATGTGGCACCAACAAAAATGCTTCTGGAATATAACAAAACTGATTACCATTCCAGGTAATCCTTGGTTAATGACCATTTGTTCAGTGACCATTTGAAGTTATGATGGAGTTCAACAAGAAGATTTACGGCCTGTACTTGAAGTTGCGGCCATCGCAGCATCCCCGCAGTCACATGATCATGCGATTTGGGTGGTGCTTGGCAATTGGCTTGCAGTTACAATGGTTGCAGCATCCTGCAGTCACATGATCACCATTTGCAACCTTCAGTGCCGGCTTCTGACAAGCAAAGTCAATGGGGAAGCTATCAGGAGTTCACAAATGGCGATCATGGGATGTTGTGCTAATGACCGCGCAGGATTTGCCTAACAATGGCAACCGGAACTGCTGCAACTACCATTGTAAGTCGGCACGGTCATGTGACGTCACACTTTATGACTGCATCACTTAGCAACACTTCCTGCTTGGGGATATTGACAAATTAACATACATAGATTTTTACTGTTTTATGTGTAGTATTTTTCTTAAAATGTTATAAAACAATAGCTACTTCTTAGGTATAAATTGTAGCATTAATTTAAAAATACTTCCAGGCTTGAATTAGAAATAGAAGAAGCACGGCTGAAAGCTAAGGAAGAAATGATGCAAGGGATCCAACTTGCAAAAGAAATGGCTCAAGAAAAACTTAGTGCTCAGCAACAAAGTTATGAGACCCAGATAAAATCATTAGAAGCGCAACTGGTAGGTCATTACTGATACTTTTATAAAGCAACACCTTAATCTGGCATGCAACAACAAGTGATCCTAATGTGGGAACTTAGGGTAGTATATCACCATCTCTATCAGAATACACATCTTGGAATTTGGATAAACTTTGAAATGCAAGTAAGCTTATGTTTGTTTACACCCTCACATCTACATTGACCGTATGAGTAAGAGAATAAAGATAGAAACTGTAATATAACTAGGTGGTGAGCTTGCAAGCAAAGTGCAGTTAGTTTTTCCCCCCTTAAGCCTCTTTATTGAAGCTATCTATCCAGTTGTTATGTAGGCTTAGCAGTAATTTCATTTCCCATTCCACCAGCCTTTCATCTCTGCAGTGTTTGATCTTTGATCCTATACAGGGGCACCTTGTTGTTTGCAGGGGTTCTTTTCCAGCCCAACAGGACTTGGAAGAGATGGACTTTGTGCATGTGCAAAATATATAAGAAAGAGAAGTCCAAAAGTCCTCCTTCAAAGAGAACCCATCCCAGATTCTTGTAAATTCTTGAACCCCTTTGCTGCAGATAGGGCAATCTGGTCTGCATTTACCAACCAGGAATATGTTATCCCATGCCTAATAATACTGCAGAGAAAGAGGGCCACCTACCTCCACTTATCTGAATAGATGAAGACATAAATCATGATACTTTCAGGAGAGAGATGGAACCTCTTCTTCATTCAAAACTTCTGTCAGTTGTAATATGTGGCACCTATGGTTTTTAGCCCTGAAGTTAAAAAGTTTACATTTAAGTTAATACAGACACATCTGCACCCAAACCTCTTTAACTTCATAACAACCTTCCCCACAGCCAAACAATAAAAGCTGTAAAGTGCTAATTCTCCACCCCACATTTCCTCTTTTTTCTTCAATTGTTGTTCCACTGTGTCCAAACGTAATGGCTTCTACAGGGCAGTGAGCATCCTTTGTTCCTGTGACAATTCAGAGGGATTTGTATCTTTATATTTGGTCTGCTTCCTAATAAGGATAGGACTACAAGTAGTCCCCAGTTTAAGAACAAATTCTGTTCCCAAGGTCTGTCCTTAAGTCGAATTTTTATGTAAGCTGGAACAGTATTACTGTATAATACTGTATAAGTAATGTTGTGTAATTAACTTAAACCATTGTGATTTTAATTTGAATCATTATGTATTTAACTCAAATTTTGCTATAATAGGCTCCATTCTTAACCATGAGTTGTTCATAAACCGGGTGTTCTTAACCCAGGGACTACCTGTATTACAAAGTATTAAAAGGACAGATATAGAAGAAAGGGGGAAAATACATAAAGAAGTCTTTCTCCATTCTATACACATATGTAAAATAATAAAATATTGTTCATTTTGAGCAGCAGCTTTTATGGAATAAAGCATCTTTACATTGGTACCCATGATTCAGTCTCCTTTATTTTTTAGGAAGAGGAATCGCATAGGAAACAATTACAGGAAATGAATAGTCAGATGGCTGCAAACAAAATTGAGGAACTGGAGAAAGCAAAGCGAGGCCTTGAGCTAGAAGTAAACTTCAACAAGAAGCGACTGGAAATAGAAACACTGGCTGCCAGAAAGGTAAATGGGCAGAGTGACTTTATTTGCTATTATTTCTTCAAGAAAATAGGTGAGTCTCAGAGTTGACCTCTTCCACGAAACCCATGAAAATATGAGAGAAATTAACAATATCTCTAATGTGTTATTCAGACTTATGTTGAGGCTGTAAGTCTGCAGTGTTAGATATTTAAAGTCTTATTAGCAGGAATCAAATTTAATTAATAAATCATCATATTTACAGAGCTGCCCAACTCAACTGACTCTTTACTCAATCAATTCTTTACCACCAGTAAAAAAATGCCCAATAAGATGGCACAACTTGATAAAATGAATAAAATCTAAAAAGGAAGAACAAGATCCAATAATACAAGACAATAAAAGAAAACCAGTCTTCATCCCAGGACCTGGGGAAAAACCCAGGTCTTCAAGATTCCCTTAAAGGACAGCAGGATCAGGGCAACGTGAATGGGGTGGGGTGGGGGGATGCCATTCCAGAGAAGGCACGCTTCCTGGGACCTCTTAGATGGGATTCAAGATGTTTCAAGGATGGAACCATTGAATAATGGTTTCTTTCTTTGGTACTCACATCTCTCTTTGAATGGAACTGACATTTAGAATAGGAATAATAACCATAATAAACTTGAAAAAGCAGTAAAATGCTCTAGTATCTAAAAAATCTGGGAAGCTGGATAAAAAGGCTTATCAACACTGATATTCCTCAGAATACTTCTCTTGCTGGTTGTCAACCTCTTTTCAGGGAGAGATGATGGAGGCAGGGAACTATCTAATACAATTATACAACTTTTTGGATTCAGAAGGGAAAAGGGGGTTTGGGAGTGCGCGAGAGCATCACTCTAGCACTTGTCTCAACTCTTTAAGCAGCTGGATCTTTTTCAGGGACCATTTTGCTTTCCATAGCAGTTGCATCCTGTATCCCAGGAGAATACAGATTTGGTGTAAGGAGCTGGAGACAGATGCTACATGTGCATGACTATGCTGTCTCAAGCACCTTTTTGTCTTCAGATCTGAAATGGTGCACCAGCAGGGATTTGTTTGTTTATATCTGAAGAACTTACATGGCTGCCTGTATCATGGGGTGTTCCTAGGCAGCTCATTGTAATCAATAAAAACAGCAACATAAAAACACATCATACCCTTCCCACCAAGGTTCTAGAACCATCCATACTGTTAACCCCCTAACCAGCTCCATCCTAGCTCAATGCTTGGGAGAAGAGCCAGGTCTTCATGGCCTTTTGGAGGGCTTAAAGGGTAGAGGCCTCCTGAATCTCAGGTGGGAGGCTATTCCAAAGGGCCAGGGTGGCCACGGTAACACTTTAGGGAAGGGGCCTGGAGTGCACCCACCCTGTCTAATCTACTGGGACAGGCAGACACCCTCAGGGAGAGGCAGTCCTGCAAATAATCTAGCCCTGTGTCCTCAAGGTGTGGTGTAGTCGAAATCAAGATTGCAGCCATGACAGTGCGATTGAAGTTCCACCCATGTTTAGTGTGCATTCAATCACACCATCATCGCAGCTATCTTGAGTTTTTTGACTCTGTAGACACTCCTGTGCCCCATCCTATTAAATTGCATCCTCTGGTTTTGAAACCTTTTGCCAAGAAAGCTCCCCATCCTGACTTTGTTTTAGGTTTTAGAAGATCACACGGTTCATCATGCCAAGATTCTTGAAGCTCTGGAGGCTGAGAAGCAGAAAATTGCTCAAGAAGTGGAAATTCTTCAGCAGAGTCAGGGAAATAGGAATAAAGGTATAGCTATAACGTAATGAAATTACCTGTCTGGTAGTTGCCCATAGATAAATATTAATGGATTTAAATAAGTAATGTAACTATTTTCTAGCAGAAGGTTCCCTTCCCTTTTTTGTAATGGAAATATATTTTTCTGTCACAACTTATAGGAACTGCATACTGACTTCAGACTAATCACTATTTTTGTGTGGAGGACGAGCAAACTTTTTTTATACTGAAAGAAATTTTCATCTTTTCATCCCGTAACCCTATCACGATCCTCTATTTTCAAGCAAGCCCCATTAGGTTCAGTGGGATTAACTTCTTGATAAGTGTGTATCAAATTGCCAAGCCTATTCTGGATGCAATGGCAGCTACTATTTAGTCTGCATCTGCACAGTTCTTAGGAAAAGAGACAGAAAGGTGCAGAAATAGGTAGAGCTTCGCTCCATGCCAAACCTTGATGATGATTTGTCATTCCTAACTCTATCAGTCCTATCTGTTAGTAAAAAGGGGCCTGTAACAGATCTTGCTTGTGAAACATCCTAGAGAGATACAAAATGCAGAGGTGATTGGGAAAAAAAGGCTAAACCTTATTGCTATAATAGGATGCTGTTTTAATCGCAAACCTATAGAAATATAATTGGTTTTAATAAGGTGTATGTGTTTTTAAGAAACAATTTTGATGAGCTCAAAGGAACTATAGGGGGAATTTCTCTGTGGATACTAGGACTCCTCAAAATGTGATCTCCAGAATCTACCAAAATTGTACCTGCTACAGCAGGACAAAGAAGATGAAGAAAAGAAGAAATGATAGAATTGTCTCTGTGTATAGAAGGTTATTTGGGTGCTTACAAATACAGAAAAATATTTGGATCTTTATTTTTATTTATATTCAGAGAGATATAAAACCTGGAAAAAAATTAAAGGTGTTAACGAATAGCATGCTGGTGCTGTTATAAATAAGAACTTTTCGCATTAATTTCCAGAGTTGCTAAAACCTTTCAAAACGTATTTTGCAGAGCCAAACTGGGATTCTTTGAAACTATCTGTGATGCTCAGAGAGGCCAACACAATCAGCAGTAAACTTGACAAGCACACTGTTTTTTGTAGGTATGTTTTGTAGGTATGAACTAAAATACTGGAAGTTGTTCCTTGTTTGCCTTTTAATTACTGTAATTTGATGATTGCCTTTAAGCAATCAAAGCTGTATTTCAGAGTGGTAT